AAAGTTTACACGCGACCAGTAACACGGTCCGCGGTACACAGGGAAGCAATAATACAGTAAGCTTACAGATTGTCACGACACACAAGCGCACGCAATCAGTAACACGGCCCACGATTCGCAAAGCAGCAGTAATTCTCGTTCAAATAGCTACATGAATATACAATAAAACCGGCAATGCTAGTCTAATGCAAAACACACAAAGTACACTACGCGCATTGACCAGGAAGTGTGAAAAAAAAAAAAAACAAGCAGTGTGCGTTGTGGCATGGTAGCAAGATAACACGTGAAATATGTTAGTTCAATAGGACAGGGGAACAAGACCAGCACTTCCAATCATACACAATTTTGAATAGCCGTTGAAAAAGCATTTTGATTAGTTAAGTTAGTAACGTCGCGTGGCAAAGTGTTCCATTCTGCTATCGTTCTCGGGAAAAAGGATAGACGGTGAGCGTTTGTTCTCGTGAAAGGCATTAGGATTGTTTTGTTGTGCTTGTTCCGGGTGGGGCGTGACATGTTCAATTCGAGATAAGTATTGAAGTCAAGCTTTGAATAACCATTGACTATACTGTGTAATATTTTAAGTCGATGTAATTTACGGCGGGACTCTAGTGTTGGTAGGTCAGAACGCCTGCACAGTTCTGTCACGGATACTCGCCTGCTGTATGCGTTGTGAATAAATCGCAGCGCTTTCTTTTGTACCCGTTCGAGCATCGCTGAATCCGTCTTTGTGTGTGGGTCCCAAACAACGTCTGCATATTCGAGCAAGGGGCGGACCAGCGTAGTGTACGCAACGGTCTTCGTTCTGCTTGTACAGTGCTGAAGTCGGTGTCTTAGAAGCCAAAGTCTGCGCAGTGCTGATGTAATATTTTGTATGTGTTTGTTCCAGGTGAGGTTTGATGTCATGGTTACACCCAAATATTTGAACTCGTTAACAACCTCTAATTCAACATTGTTAATTTGATAAGCATATTGAAATGGAAACTTTTTGTTCGTTATTGTCATTTGGCGGCACTTTGTTGTGTTGAGGCTCATGTTCCAATCGGCACACCAATTACTAACAGCTGTTAAGTATTTGTTGAGAACTTTCTGGTCATTTACCGATTCAATAGGGAGATAAACAACGCAGTCATCGGCAAAGAAACGGAAACGCACCGGACAGTCGAACTGTAAATCATTTAAATAGATAATGAAAAGCAATGGACCTAAGACGGAGCCCTGTGGGACTCCAGAAACAACTGATGACAAGTGAGAGGCAGAGTCACCTATCTGAACGTACTGATACCGGCTTGATAAGTAGGAGTCCAACCACTGAGTTATTTTCTCATTTTTGACCAAGTTTCGAATTTTTAACATGAGGTTGCTATGGGGTACTCGATCGAAAGCTTTTTCGAAATCCAAGAATATAGCGTCAATTTGCCCCCCCTTATCTAAAACTTTTGAGATGTCGTTAGTCGTGTGTATTAGTTGTGTAACCGTGGAAAATCCACGCCGAAAACCATGTTGATTGCTCGTAAAAAACATGTTGCTCTCAAGATACGTTACTAGGTGTTTAAATATAAAGAGCTCCAAAACTTTACCGGCTGTACACAAAAGGGATATGGGGCGGTAGTTTTTTACAGAAAGTTTATCGCCGGATTTATGCACAGGAGTAACTTTTGCAGTTTTCCAATCGTCTGGAACCACACCGGTTAGTAGACTTTCGTTAAATATAATGTAAAGGTATTTCGAGCACCACTCCGCATACCGGTAAAGGAATGCATTTGGTATTCTGTCGGGACCTGCGGACTTTTTAGGGTCAAGGTTGAGCAAAGCCGAAAATATTCCCGGCTCGGTAATAGTTATATCGGGAATGTCAAAGCCAGGAATATTGAAATTAGTGCAGCACTGGGTTGCACGTACAAATACAGACGAGAAAAAAGCATTAAAAGCCCTTGCTATCGAGCAGGCATCGGACACTTCCCTGTCGTTTATTTTAATTTTGCCGACTGGGTCTTTCTTTTGGGTGATGTGAGTCCAGAACTTCTTAGGGTTGGTGACAAGAAAGCCGTGCATCTTAACATTAAAAAAGTGATACTTTGATTCTTTGTTTTTTTTTCCGTAGGTCAGCCCTTAGGGAAGGTAGCACGTTAGGCGTTTTGGGCGCTCGGGAGAGACACTTAACACGACGTTTTAAGTTAATTATGTCACGCGTAATCCACGGGCTTTGGCGGTTAATCTTTCTTTGTTTTTGTGGGACATATTTGTTAATACAAGTATGCACGGCCGTCTTGAAGTGCAACCATAATCCGTTTACGTCGAGATACCCGTTATTGTATTTGCTCGTAAAGGTGTCGAAATCTAGTTCGAGGAAGTCCAAAATACTTTCATTATCAGCACTGTTAAAATCTCTAAATGGCTTAATGATTGCCCGCGAAGTTGAGGGCAACATATGACTTTTAAACTGTACTATTTCGTGATCTGAAATCCCGGGCAGAACATTGACATCAAAACCGAGCCGTTGAACGGATTCAGAAAGAAAGACAAGGTCAAGTAGTGACCTTGAGTTTGTCGAAACACGAGTAGGTTCATGCACAATTTGGCCTAATTTACAAGAAAAAACATCAAGCAGTAGTTCGGAATGATCCCAGGTAGGAACGGCACGCATCGAATCCCAGTCAATTGGAGGCAGATTAAAATCACCGCAGAGTACCATATGCGTGTAACGCTTGGCATACACGCCTACATGATCTACAAATGCTTCAAGTACTGTAATGTTGGAATTTGGTGGTCTGTAAAATACACTGATAAAGATGTTGAGTTGCGGATGGTGAAGAACAATGCAAGCCATTTCAATGCTTTTGTGTTGGGGAAGGGGGGTATAGTCCAGGCCTTTTTTTATTATTAGTGCCACACCCCCACCTTTTGAAGCCCGGTCACAGCAATAGATTTCGTGGGAGCTCGGTATCGCTACCGAGTCTGGAATTTCGTCACTAAGCCACGTTTCTGTTACAGCCGTGACGTCGGGATCGTATACAGTGAGAACGCTTTCCAGATCATCAGACTTGTTTAAAATACTTCGTGCATTTATATTCAAAACAGAAAAGGGTTTGGAATTCGTGAGCGAAGGCACATCAGAGTCGCTCTTTTCTTTGCTATCAGCTCGGTCGTGGTTTGGTGGCAATCGTCACTGCGGAGCAAAAGGGACTCTCGCTCCAAGAGTGTCGTCCCACACAAAAAGCTTACCATCGACTTTGATCTTGTCGAACGACTGCATCACTTTTATCCCCTTCTTTCTTAGTTCAGCAGTGCTATCCCAAAGTTTTTTCCGGACAGCCCGGATGCGAGACGAAAAGTCTTCTGATATGCGATATTCCGTGTCTTTCAAGTTTTTACAGTTTTTTAGTATCCTTGCCTTGTCTCTACCGTCCACCAGCTTGAAAATTACTGGTCTACATTTGTTTTCTTTTTTTCTACCTAACCTGTGAACACATTCTATTCCAACGTTCTTCACTTTTAGTATTTCACCAAGAATGTCGTTCGATACTTTCTGCTCTAGCAACTCCACCTTTTCATCCTTCATCTCTTTGATACCGTACACTATCAAATTACCCCTCCGACTGCGGTTTTCCAAGTCCTCGATTTTATAAACAAGGCTGTCCACTTGTTGTTGTAGTTTGTCTACTTTAGTGGTGTAACTTGTTACGGTGCCAGATAGTTCATCTAGCTTTCTCTCAATTGCTGAGAGCTTATCACAAGTTTCACTCAAGCGTTGTGTGGCGGTACCTGAACTTTCTTTGAGTAGACGAATTTCATCTAAAATCTTCTGAAACATAGCTTCTGTGGGGCCAGGGTTCGACTCAACGTCCCCACAATGAGGTAGCAGGTCTACAAAACAGTCATACACTGCAGAAAGAACAAGTAGTAGCGACCGTGGGCACGGAAGAAGCACAAGGCATACATCATCACTACGATATTCAAGCTCCGGACGGTAGTCTCTCACCTGAATAACAAGCAAGAAGGGGTTCCTGAGAATCATGCTCTCGGCGCCTCTGTCGTGCCCACTGGTCGGTACCGGCCGAGCGCTTCTTCTTATATCCGTTGGTGTCGATGACGTGGCTGATGGTGGTACTCGATGCGCCGCCAGGGACGGTGTAGTAGTGCGCAGGCTTGAAGAATTGGTGTCGATCCCGTACACGGGCGGATACGTGCTCCAGGCAGCATATCTTGCTGGTTGCGTCTCGGTACAAGGGAACGCCGATGCGCAGATGGCACGAACATGAAGCAGCACCTGAATAACAAGCAAGAAGGGGTTCCTGAGAATCATGCTCTCGGCGCCTATATCGTGCCCACTGCGCGCATCGCCGCATGTGGATAACTACACATGCTGCACGGTAGGGTAGCAGGCGTCCCACAGATCCCTTACCAAAGCGCCAACCAACATGATGTGCAGGGGCCTGGTGACAGACTGGCAGAGTGTGTGCGTGTGTGTTGGATGGCCGGCGTGGTGTGGGCTGGATGGTTGATGGCATGTCCAGTGGCTGCGAGGACCTTGAGTTGCGAGTTTAAATGGTGATCATTTTTCTACTTATGAATATTTTCTGAGTTTTGAGGCCGTGAGGCATTCTGTCATTTGGTCCGGTGGCAAGAACCTTCACAATAATATTCTTTCAGATATCCAAATGCTCAAATATTCACGGAAGCCTAGTGCTCAATTATTTTTGGTTGTGTGCATTTCGAGAAAAAGAAAAGAAATGTTTTGAAAAAGCACTGATTCTGTCCAACGACCTGTCGAATATTGTAGTGCCTTCACTAACGCTCTCGGCTGCTGTTCTATGCAGATGCAGCACACTTAAGCTAAGTAATGACATACTGACTATAAATAAAATACACAAACGTAGCCACCACTGCTAAAGGGGTTATGCTTGTACTGTGCCGCACACTTTGGGCAAGCCTGGCATTTTTAACGCACTTGTCATTGATCGATCAAGAACATTATGCATCTAAATGTGTAATCTTTTCAGCTGAGGACCAGGAGCTCAAGCCATTTGATGACTGCAGACAGGTGTCACTTGCTGTGGAAGTTGTGGACGAGAGTATTATCAAGTACCTCCCAGGCAAGTGGGCCTTTGATTAGCCAATTGTATTCACCATTGCAGAAAGATTGGTAGCTGCAGCATAAATCACAAGTGCAAGTTTGACATGAAAAATTCTTGAACGTGTTCTGCTGGAGCCAATGTCTTGGATGTGTATGATGGGCGTGTATTATTTTTTAAGCATGCTGTCCAGTCGTCACAGTTTAACAGCCTGTAAATGAACCTTGGTATTGTCATGTTCCTTAGGCCTCACTCCCTAGTCCCCGTGACTCCTACGTCCTACCACCACACCTTCCCCTCACACACCGCCCACACAAGACCGATGTCTGCTGTTGCCACCTTATTCAGGGGGCGCCGCATACCCTCCTATCGATACTGATGGATGTCCCCCCCTTGAAGCGTGAAGCTCCCACCCTGCCGACCGTGGAGGATAGTATTTGGCGAGCTGGTCAACATGGGCCTCTCCACAAACTTTTCCAGTCTGCGGGTGGGCGAGCTTGAAGATATTTAGACCAACACGTCTGTAGATGCAGAATGGTCCATTTCGCTTTGGTGGGAGCTTTGACGAGATGCCCCTTGCAGCGTCACTGAGTATGTGGGTTTCACGCAGGACAAGGTCACCTTTCTCTAATGTCGTAGCTTGCCGTCGCTGATCGTAGTGCTGCCTCTGAGCATGCCAAACATTTTGCTGATGCTGCCGTGCAGCATCCATGATCTCCGCCAAATGGGACTGAAGTTCTGCTGCGAATGCATGAGAAGCCGATGCAGCCGGCTCGGCATCCTGCTTCTCCTCGGTAGGTTTCCAGAAAGTTCGTAGCTCACGGCCATAGCAGAGGAGGGCTTGGGTGTACCCAGTAGCAACACTTAGGACAGTTCGCATTGCAAAAGCAGTCTCGGGAATGTATTGGTCCCAGTTTTTGTGCTCATTGCAGTATGCACAAAAGCACTGCTTCACGGCGCCATTATGCCGTTCGAACATTTGTCCTGCTGGCCTGTAGGGTACAGTGTGGCGCTCCGAGATACTCCATCGTCTCAAGAGGTTCTTCTATAACTTACTAACAAAGGGTTTCCCGTTATCGCTAGAAATAGCAATAGGTACCCATGTTGGCAGATGAACTCTTCCACACGGCTTGCTATTTGCTGTGTTGTTGCTGCAGGAAGAGGGAAGAGCTCAATGAATTTGGAGAATTTGCTAACAATGACTAGCAAGTGCTTGTGCCCCTGAGGGCTAGTAGGTAATGGCCCCATCAAGTCAATACTAAGTTCTTCCATTGGTGCAACAGGCCATTGACTTGCCATAAAACCCTGGGGTTTGCAACGCTGTGCTTTTGTCCTTTGACAGACAGAGCTACCGCGGACATACTTTGATATGTCATTGTTCATGCCCAACCACACAAACTTCTCCCTGATGCTCCGTAATGTTTTGAAGAATCCTGCATGGACACGTGTTGGGTGGTCACGGGCCATCTGAAGGACCAAGGAAGGAAGGTGAGCAGGCAACCAAGCTACTGTACGGTCGCCACGGCATATTACCAAAAGTCCCGATGACTCTAGATGGGATGTGGATGCTAGGTCCTCCAGGAGACCTGTTTTGGCACTGCCTTTCCGCAGAGATTCTCCCTGGATAGTCTTCGTTATGTCACATAAAAGGGCAGCACGTTGTTGTTCCTGTGCTAGTTTTCTCACATTGTTTATTACACTGAGGTCCTCAACGGTGGTCAGCAAGCAGGTGTCAAACATGACAGAGCCTTCGTCAGTGTCCAAGTTAAGTGGCAAAAGTCTCTCAGGCAGTCTTTTAGCTGCCGTCTTGTAGTCTGGCTCAACAGGCGCCCGGCTTAGGGCATCAGCAGGGATGTTGGCCTTCCCACGACGGTGCTTAATTTTGCACTGAAACCCTTGAAGGCGTAGCACTCAGCGGCGCACACGAGGAGAAGCCTGCTCAGTGGTGAACATCCTCGAGTGAGCCTCGGGAGGCGCCCGAGGCAAACGCTCACCTTTTGTTGCCCCTCTGCATACGCTCGGCCGAAGGGTGGTACGGTGTCCTAGTGCGTGGCCAAGCTGTGCCGACCCGTCTCCCTCAGAAGCCAACGCGAGCGCCTTTGCCCTCGCTCGAGCAATCGGGCCTTGGTCCCGGTGTCTCCGTGAATCACCTTTACCACGGAGACGTGCTCGCGGCACCCTGTGTAATACTTTTACGCCTGTGGCGTGGATAAGCTCATTTGCTTTTACGCCGTTCCTTTGCAACAGGCTGTACTGCATTTGGTGTTGCCACAGACAATAAAGTGTTGTGACCTTGAGCAGTATCGTGTTCTCGCCACGGCGACGGTTAACGTGTGCCCTGCGGCTCGCTAATACCGCACCCACGCTAGTAGCTGTACTACTTCGGGATACGTGTGCACTACACCGGCACTCTCCTAGAGAAACAATATGACCGAGAAAGGTGAGGTATTGGGTGCACTGTTGCACTTTGGTAAGAATTGTAAGTCCTGCATTCGGGATGCATTAGAGAACTTGACGGACATGTACTAGGTGATCTATTGTTGGAGAGTAGACCAAAACATCATCCAGGAGTGCCATGGGAAATTTGTGGTTTATGCCCTCGGAACCCCGTCCATCAAAGCTTAAAAGGTGGCCGGGCCTCCTGCCACACCAAATGGCATTCTTGTGAACTCAGAGGTGCCCCTACGACATATGAATGCAGTCTTCTCATCATCTTGTTCCCGTAGTGGAATTTGGAAGAACCCTTGGGACAGATCAAAGCTTGTGAACCACTGGGCATTACCCAGTTGCACCAAGAGCCAGTCAGTGTGAGGCATCGGGTACACTGGTACATTCGTGCAGGAATTCAAACGCCTGTACTCAACAGCCACACGGTAGCCTCCGGATTTTTTTCCCACCAGAGCCGGTGCACTTGTCCGCTACTTGTGCTGCGGCTGATCAGGCCTCCTTCCAGCATCTCGTCCAAACAGGCATCCATGATGTGTTGTTTCTTGGGATTGACTGGGCGCAGCTTTGTGCGCACTGGTGTGCTGTCACCTGTGTCGATACAGTGCTCAATGAGGGTAGTACAACTAGGTAACTTTGTGAACAGTGCCTTGTACTCTCCCAACAGGTTCCTGAACTCATTCAATACCTCTGCCCGCTGTCCTGAGCCACTAATGGTGGTGCATGCCACAATGTCTGGGTGTTGCTCAAACAGACCTCCAAGGCAATTGGCATCATCCACTGGACCTGGGACAACCTTTTTGTTAGGTTTGGAAAAGGCACAACAAGCTGTAGTTCCATGCCCCGAGTCCATCCTCTCAAAGCTATGTGCAAAGAAATGCCAGTGGCTGTAAGAAAGTCCCTTCCAAGAACCACATCTTGGCACAGGTTGGGCAGACAGAAATTTTTGAACCCAGGAGCCGCCATTCCATTCTATCCTGCATTTGGTTGACACGGAGCTTTGTGACCAACCTGATGCCAGACGAAATGTTCGAATTTCGCGTTTTTTTTTTCCTCCCTAAGAGCACGCTGTACTGGTCACCAGTGAACCCAGAAGACTCACGCTGGACCAGGTGTCAAGCAAGACACGGAACATCGTACTGCCGATTTGAACGTCCGAGAGTGGCTTCTTCCCTTCTCTGGCAGCAGATGCAACTTGCATACTAAAACCGCTGTAGTCACTCGCCGAACCAGTGCCTACTGGCGCCCGTTTCTTGAGCACTGCGTCTGGAAGTGCCCTGGTCGGCTGCACTGGAAGCAAACGACTTCGTCTTGGCGTGGTCTACTTGCACAGTTGCGTGCAATGTGGCCGACACCGCCACAACGTCGGCAAACAACCTGGTTCAGAACCTGCTGAGGTCGACGTCCTGCTGGTAGTCGGAACGTTGGCGCGTCGACAGGTTGGGCCTGCATGATGGGCCACTGGTCCCGGTGATATGATGGTTGCACTGCAGCAAGGTGGAGGACCCACGTGCACCCAGGTGTCCAACTGGCATTTGGTGCGGAGAGGACCACTGTGGAGTGCTGGGGCACTGCCATTGCGTCGGGCATGCCGTGCGCCGAATATGCCAAGTCGCGCGTGACTTGGTTTGTTTTGGGTGGCGGAAGCCGATGTTTTGGGTGGCGGAAGTCGATGTTTTGGGTGGCGGAAGCTGTGCTCGCTCCATCAGGCCATTGGCCACATCAAACTTGAGAAAGTAGACTCCGCTTCCAAGTCATGCAGCTGGGGCTGCATCTGGCGCAGCACTCTGTCGACCTTAACGCCATTGGCAACCTCCTCTCTGATTCGGTCATAAAGCTCTGAGATAACATATATAAATTCTTTCAAGTTTTCCTCGTGGTGCTGGGTGCGGGCCTCCAATTCATCCTTCGGACGCTTCTTTTCGTCGGCCGACGCAAATTCCCGACGGAAAGCTGCGACAAAGTCATACCACAAAATGAAGGGTCCGGCGAAGCGATACCACAACGGGAGCAGCCACCAGCGGTTGCCGCAGCTCGCCTGCAAGGCGTTCGTGTTTTATTGCAGATCCATTAGTCTGTCTCAGCATAAACTGCACGAATCCGTCACGGATTTCAGTCAGCTCAATCCCAGACGAGCCCCCAGTTGTCATGTACGTTAGCCCTCACTCCCCAGTTCCCGCGACTCCTACGTCCTACCACCACACCGTCTGCCCACACACTGCCCACACAAGACGGATGTCAGCTGTTGCCACCTCATCCAGGGGGCGCCGTGTACCCTCCTATCAATACCGATGGATGTTTTCCCAGCATTCCGGAGCGGCGAACGGAGCGGCGGCCGTCGATAAAACTGACAAGCGGTGAAGCGTGTCGGCATTTATACACTTGCCGCCAAATGCTCTAGCATTATCACTAGCGGTGACGTAGGCTCCAGAGTAATCTGTATAGTTTGCGGAGTGGGCGTGATCTTATCGAAATGATCTACTACAGTCCTGAAGCTTCTCGAACACTGCAGGCGCGGTTTGCGCTGAGAATTATGTAGTGTATTGGGGCGATAACAAAACTTGAGTACAAGAATG